GCAGAAAGGCTACAATATCTGGAGGCCATGAACCAGCTGCAGGTGGACCTGGCCGACATGAAGGCCTTCGGGGGCAAGCCCTACCCCTTCATGCTGGCCGCGGAGCCGCTGGGGGTGCCGGCCAACGTGTACTCCGACGACGGCTCCGAGTTCAAGAGGGAGTTCAAGGAGCTGATGGATTTCTGGGACATCGAGAAGCAGGTGACCAGGGGCCACGCCTACTTCGCAGAGGCCATGTTGCGGCGCATAGCTGCCGGAGCGGGGGGCCAGTGGCACCTCATGCTGCCTGACTCTGACCCCGAAATGGCTGAGATTGCTCTGCGCAACATCGAGCGCAGGGCCAAACACAAGGTGACCCGCCCGAGATCAAGGTCGGGGATATGGTGAGGATCAGGGTTAAGCCGACAAGATAGCCTGGAGCGAAAAGGTATACAGGGTAGTGTCCGCCGAGAGCGGGGAGATGGGGGCAAGGTTGGTTTGGAGGGGTGGCCGGAAAAGGTGGTGCGCAGGACAGGGATCTCGGAGGTGCAGTCCGAGCGGAGGCTACAGAGAGGTTCCAGGCTCCCACCTCCCTTTTGATGTTCTCTGTGCCTCTTCTACTTGTCCGACAGCTCCGCCCGCCACTCACTGATAAGCTTCTTCGCGTTGGGTCGGAGCGGGGGCAGGGGCGGGCCCCCGTGATCTAGGACCGCGCGTTCCACATCTCATCTGCCTCAAACCAGCGCAGGGCAAGCTCTGCCCGCTGGGAGCGCGTGGCCGGGGTGTTAAGAGCCGCAGAGACTTGGCTCACCTCACTCATGATTTCCTCCAGGTCCACGTTCTCAACGATCTCGAGACGTCGGACTTCCGCTTCCTCGCCTTATTGAGAAGCTCGATGCGGGCGCGCTGGCACGAGCGCTCGGCCTCAAGCAGCGCATCCTCGCAAGGCCGCTTGGTGGGAGGCTGCTGGGCCATCAGAGCAGCCGCAAGGCAGCGAGCGTCCCTGTCCGCCCACGCGTCTGGCTTTTCCAGAAGCCATGCCTGCACGCATCGGACCATTCGACCATTCGGCGGACTTTTTTCTTTAGCGCGTCCTCAAGCTCAGCAACGCACTCGCTCGCGAAGATCTTCTTCCTCGAGCGGCGCTCCAGCCGCCAGCGGAGAATTACGATGCTGCGCTCCAGCTCCGCAACACGCTCCTTAGCCAGCGCCGCTCGCTCACGCTCTTTGTCGAGGAGCTCGTTGAAGCGGTCCAGCCGCCAGCGGAGATTTCTGTTGTCGCGCTCCCGCTCCTCGCCGCGCATAGTTTCACCGAAGAGCTCCTCATAGAGGTGCTCGATGAGATGCCGGTGGTGCAGACGCTCGGCCTCGAGCAGTGCATCCTCGCGAGGCCGCATGGGAGGCCGCTGGGCCATCAGAGCAGCCGCAAGGTAGGGAGCGTCCTCGTCCGCCCACGCAGCGGCTTCTCCAGAAGCCATGCCTGCACGCATCGGAAGGCCATCGAGGAAGTCATCTTGAGCAGCTGCGGCGGATCGAATAAGTATTATCGAGAAAGCGAGAAGGCGAGAAAGCGAGAAAGCGAGAAAACGATGAGGATGCTGATGTGGATGATGACCACAACGAGGAAGAAGGTGATGACTATGATGGATGATGACGATGACGACTGATGATGATAATGATGATAATGATGATGATGGTGCGTGATGGATGGATGATGATGATGATGATGATGGTGATGATGGTGATGATGGTGATGATGGTGATGATGGTGATGATGATGATGATGATAATGTTCATCTGTGCAACGAGGAGAATCATTGATGATGATGATGACAGCTGATGATGATGTTGATGATGACGATGATGATGCTGATAGATGATGATCATGGCGCACAGCTGCCGCGAAGAAGCGGAAACTTGAATCTGCTTCATTTTCCAACTTGGTTCTTTTGCAGTTAACCTGATACAGTCACAAGTCAATCTGATCCCCCACAAGTTAATCTGACCCCCCTCACAAGCCAATCTGATGCTTCACAAGTCTATTTGATGCTTCTGCAAGTGAACAAGTCAATCTGATCCCTGTGACAAGTCTGTTTGATCCCCAGCCCCCACATTTCCCGTACGCACCGCTTTGAATTTTCCAATTTTGCCTGTATCTGAGGCTCTCACCTTCTGCTGTACTTTGCAGTCACCTCCATGTTCTTGTAACTAGTGCAAGGCTGACTGAAAGAAACCAGGCTGAGCACATGCTCTCCACATCTTAGTTACCAATCAGTCCAAAAGGAAGACCGCAAGACCGCAGGGCACGCTCCGCTGCTAAAGCGCAGCTGGGTGAGGCTGGTTCTTCAGAAGGTGGATTTACTGTTTCATTGGCCTTCTTCTTAAGCAAGTCCAACTTGTAAGAACGATGGATCTTTCCTGTCTCTGACTTTCGCCCCAGCGTGCTCTGTTACTGCCACTGAGTGGGTGCTGAATCTTTGTGGAAAAACACTGGTACCTCGCCTTTGGTTCAGCAATGTTTTCAGCTTGCCGCCGAGTGGCCTGCACTCGGTCCTGCAAGTCTGAGCCACTGTGGCATTCTTGTCTTGTAGTGTTGTGTGTTTTGCTGTTTTGGTAGTGTTAGGTGTTTTGTTGTGTGGCTTGTTTTGCTGCCAGTGACAGCAAGCTCTGAGACATTTGCAGCAGGAGGCTTGAAAACATGTTTTTGTGACGGTCAATCTTGGTTAAGTACACGCAGCCAGTTAGGCACAGCTGGATTGTCAGCACGCCTGGCGTCGTGATGGGTTTGTGCAACATCCGTCTTGTTTTCAATTTAAGGCGTTCGATTCTCGATTCACAAATGATGGAGGATTGCCACAATTTGCAAGCCTGTGCATTCGCGTGGTGCGCGAAAGTAGTCTTACTTGGGAACACGTTTGCTCTTGCACGGAACGTGGACAATCAAATTGAAGTCGACCCGAATCTGGCGAAGCTGCTGCAATGAACCGGAGTCTCCGTTGCCATTTAGTTTGGGGCGTCTGTCTGGTTGATAGCACGCGCCCATTTGGAAGGGTGCGGGTTCATGTCTAAAAGCGGGCTCAAGAGCTTGTATTTTGCCATTTGTGTTTTCATGGATCGGATCGTTTTGAGATCGAATCGAAGGTATGAAAACAAATGGTGTCATGAGATGGTTTTAGAATCATCATGATACTGATGAGTTCATTAGGACTCTGTCTTTGTCTATGGCTAGGGCATAATGCTTCGTGGTTGCAGTAAAGGACGCTAGGTAGCAGTGTAGGAACAGTGCGAAAATGAACGCACTTTCGCGCGCTCAAGCTAAAGGCCAGCAAGGCCGCCAAGGGCTTGGAGGATGCTATTCAATGAGAGGCAAAATGCGTTCATATGCGATCACAATGTTTGCTGTCTGCGTGGCAAGAAGCTCCGAGGAGCTCAGCCGTGCCACGTCTCGTTGCTAATCTTTGAAGAACAAGGCCGACTAGAGGGGTTCGCCCAGTTGCTGTGGCGAGTTTCCAGCACTCGTTCGCAGCTCCAATTTAGCAAGGACCGCGACAATAGACGCATCCCATCGATTTGTGTGAAAACAGATTGAAGAAGCGCGCAGCCACTGGAATCGACCATCGCTCTCATTGCTCCAAAAAAAGGTCGATCTGAGCTATCGTCAGCGCTTTGTTGGCAATTGGCGCGCACCGGATTTTGGAGCAACCGGTGCTGCACACAAAACAACTCCAGCGATAAAACATGTTATTCAAACGAATCATGATGCCCCGACCAAGTCTGCAAACGCCGCAAGAAAATGGACGCGTCGGACTGTCGGACATGGCGGTGGGGGTGGGGGGAAAAAAACGGACTGTCGGACATGGCCTCCCGAGTATTTTGGTCATTTACTAAACAAACGCTTCAATTTTGGTTGGCAACTTTGATGCCGAGAGACTTTCTGCACAAATATTGCCTCCCCAAAACAGAATCAATGGCTGGACAGGTTGCTCGCGGGTCTGAACCCGACCGCGGCTAGAACCTTAGCAATGCTGGTTTGGTTCATTCGTTTCTGGGAGTCAATGGCAGCAAGTACGGCATCTTAAATTTTGGTTCCATTTCTTTCTGGGTGTAATTGGGGGAAGTGAAGCTTAGTTGCCTCCCGTTCCTAGCTTTCAGAGAAGGAATATGATTTGTATGTTGAATAAATTGCTATCTCAAGCAATTGCACAGCTTGTATTTTGGAAATAACTTGTGAAATTTGTGGTTCTTTTGCTACAATCTACAGCTTTTTGGTCCAAAGTTTGGAGGGGTCCTTTTAGCCAAGGCCCTCCACGGTAACCATGGCGAAGCGGCAATCCTTGCTGTTGCGGCTGGCCGTTCTTGCCTGCGCGCTGTTGACCCTGAAGCAGTTGGCTTTTGTTGCAGGCCCTGGTCAGCAGCCGGCTCTTCGTGGTCAGGAGGCTGCTTTGGCCGGAGCAGTGCTGGCTGCTTTGCCTGCCAGCCCTGCATTGGCAACAGACCAGGCTTCGGACAGCTTCAGCAAGACGGATGTGATCGTCATCTTGGTCCCCATTGTCGTCACCTGGATCGCATTCTTGGATTGGGATGCCAGGCAGCCTTCTGCCGATGACGTCACTGGTGTGGGCTACCTCGGCCCCACTGTGGACGGCCCATCACCTGACCAGCCTGCCTACTACCGCCGCAGCCCCGAGAACGGCTAGACTGATGCGGTGAGAGGTTTTTCAACAGACTTCCAAGAGTGCAGCGTGGCACATTGCAAAACAGGGGCCTGCTTTTGCACATGCGTTGAGGGGAAATTTTGTGGCCGTTGAAGTACAAACAACATGCAGCATGAACCATTCGTTTTTTGCGCGTCGTACTTTTGTCCTTGTGTGGACACGGGTTGCAGCTTGTCGGCCATTGGAACTAGGACCAAAGACAAGGTTTTGGATGAGTTGGCAGTGTTTGCACAAGTTTTGTGTGGCATTAACCTGGCATTTTCTTGCAGACGGACTGAGCACTTGCTGAATTTTGTGCCTTCATGCAGCGTTTTTGGTCCAAGGTTTGGAGGGGGGTCCTTTTAGCCAAGGCCCTCCACGGTAACCATGGCGAAGCGGCAATCCTTGCTGTTGCGGCTGGCCGTTCTTGCCTGCGCGCTGTTGACCCTGAAGCAGTTGGCTTTCGTTGCAGGCCCTGGTCAGCAGCCGGCTCTTCGTGGTCAGGAGGCTGCTTTGGCCGGAGCAGTGCTGGCTGCTTTGCCTGCCAGCCCTGCATTGGCAACAGACCAGGCTTCTGACAGCTTCAGCAAGACGGATGTGATCGTCATCTTGGTCCCCATTGTCGTCACCTGGATCGCATTCTTGGATTGGGATGCCAGGCAGCCTTCTGCCGATGACGTCACTGGTGTGGGCTACCTCGGCCCCACTGTGGACGGCCCATCACCTGACCAGCCTGCCTACTACCGCCGCAGCCCCGAGAACGGCTAGACTGATGCGGTGAGAGGTTTTTCAACAGACTTCCAAGAGTGCGGTGTGGCGCATTGCAAAACAGGGGCCTGCTTTTGCAGAGGTGTGTCTTTGAGCTATTCAGCTGCCAGGTGGGTTTGCATGACGATCAGGGCCAGCATCGTCCCTCTGGTTTTGGCTTAAGCGCTGCTCGGGCAGCCATTTGGGTGAGCAGTTGGCACCCTGGATACGCAAGTATCCGCTGAAGGTGTTGTGAAGCGGGGCTTTGCCAACTGCAGTAGTCAACCCTGAAATGCAAGACTCTGCACAATTTTGCATATTGGTTGTAGCCAGCAAAGGCAAGGCAATGTTGGGCAATTGAGATTGACCAGCTTCACCTCCACACTCATGGCACGCACCCTTGCCCCTTTGATCGGGGAGATCTTCACGTTGGATGGCGCCGCGTGTGCTGCACCTGGCATGCGCGGTTGCGTTGACAGGCGAGTCGGGAATCGGGAGGAGGTCGAGGGCTGAGGCGCAAATGGCGCAAGAGACAGAATAAGTAGACTGAGGCTATGCTCTCTTTGATGCAAAGAGGGACCTGGCTTGAGCGACGCTGGTTTGTGATGAACTATGAGCATTTGATATCGTGGGTGTAGCTTGGACGTAGGGCTACCGGCTTATGAACGGGAACAAGTCTCGTTGCGGATACCATCGTTGCATCTTCAGGGTGGGGTTCTGCTTTTTGTTTTCTTGGCCTCTTTCCCTTGAATGGTAAGGCTTAGTGAAGGGATCGAATTACTATCCCGCGCAAACGGTTGGTGGATGGCCCAGCTTGTCATTTTTGAAGGTAGCCTTGTTTGGGTTGTACAGGGAAATCAAGAGGACGCCTCTCATTTTGGGGCCTCTGATTTTGAGACAAACTGGGGGCGCCCTTGGGCTCTTGCCATCGCTTTTCGCTGGACGGGAGGGCCCGCCTTTGTGCTGCGGCGCGCCGCGCCGAGCAGCGTAGAGGCCCGCTTGATGGCTGAGACACAGGTCCCACCAGTGGTAGGCTGCTACAGTCCTTCGGATGACGCTTTCATGTAAGCATTCTGATCGCTTGGTGATGTTTCCCTAGTTGAAGCTAAAGCGATATTTGAAGATACATGTTCCTTTCCTCAAAGGGTATTGTGCACAGCTTTCCAGGTCACATGTCTCAGTTTTACAAGTCACGGGCGACGGGGATTGGCATGTGTCTTGTCATTTTGATTGCTAGTCTTGCCCGGGCCAGACTACCACTTGTGTGTTGGTGCAGCTTAGTGGCGCCTTGCTCAACTTGGTTCGTGCTTATCCAGCTTGCGTACACGCCTACGTGGCCCCTGTACTCAGGTGCCGGCGACCTATGCAGAGCAGTTCGCTGGGGTGCTCCCAGATGACTTCTCTTGGGAGGACGCGAGAAGATGTTATTGGGTCGCATGGGGTTGGGGCAAGCTGCCTCACGCCTTGCTCAAAGGCGCCGAAGCAAGGCATGCTGAGGCAGGAAGACCGGCCAATCCTGGCTTTGCGTACAGTAGGAGGCTTTCGAGTGTGATTCGATGCATTCGCTTCTTGGTTGAAGGCTGTGCTCGAGAAGCGGGCAACATCACACAGGAAAGACGCGTTCAGTCTTTGAATGCAACCCGAGACCCAAGGAGCTCACCCGAGCGAGGAACCGAAGCCAAGCCTCAGGGTGCACACTTTGAGCCCAAAACGAACTCCAAAACGACGAGCTGAAACTCGGCGAGGACTTCCTCGAGGCGTCCCAGCGCCCGGTGCGGCCCTGCGTGCGGGTGAACTCCCTGCGGGGCGGCTGCCGCCCGCGCGCGGGCCCCAGCCGAAAATTGAAAGATGAGACGTCCGACGGAAAAAATGGGTGGTTTCCTTTTGAGTTGCCAAAAGGGTACCCAACAGCCAAAACAGTACCCAACAGCCAAAACACACACCCAAATGCAGTGGGCCACTGGCACGATTCTGTACCACATGTGTCTTCGGCATCCGGTCCTTACCTTCTGCCTCGTGTCTGGATGCTTTTCGATCAATGATGGGCATTGACAAGGGCTCCCACGGCTCCAAGCATTTAGAGTGGATGTGTCGGATCGGATAGGGCAAACAAAACAATATGCTTTTCCAACACACATGAGCAGCATCATGATGGGCGACCGGGGCAAACATTGGTCAACTATTTGATTGTTCCAAGGCAGACGGGATTTGGAGTTTTGGACCCCAAGAGCAAGTGTTGCTCTGCTCAGTCGTGCCTTTGCGAATGTCCAACATGACGGGGCACCGTGCGATTAGCATGTATCATACCTCTATCTCGCCCTTGTCCCACAGATCGGTGTCTCGAGCGTCCTCTGCAGGGCTTTTGGTGAGTCCAGATGGGGAACCTCCACAGGCACACACTTATAATTCCTTCTGAGGACTGTAGATGGGGGCAGAAACTCCTTTTGGCCACCCAGAAAAGAATCAGCGAAGAACAGCCATCTCCGGCGGCTTGCCTTGACCAAGGCCTGGCTCTTTTTGCCTCGCTCGCTCAGGGTTCCCCCGTTTTCGTCGCTTCGCCCCACATCTCGCCAGCAGCGAGGCGTTCAGCGGCTCGGGGCTTTGCATGGCTGGCGACTGGGCGCCGCGGTGCCCTGGGGCGTGGGCGGCTTCTGGGTGCAGTGGCTCGGAGCGTTTTGAGGCCTTCAAACGAAGGTGAGCCACAATCAAAACCTGGCCAAATGAAGTGTAGTCTGGGAATGTCCCAACCAGAAACGGGTGCAAGCGCCTTTGTAATTCTTGACATGTGTTCTGGGTAGACCTCTTTTTAATACCCAGATTTGATTATGACTCAGGCGACATGGGTTGATCATGATTTTGAGAATGCAAAGGATGTTGGAAGAAAATGGAAGGATTTGGCCCGACATTTTGGAGCTTTTCACAAACGGAAAGGAAGTTTTACCGCTTTGCCATTTTGTGGGATCAAATGTTTGGATTCTTTTTGGTTTCCCCAGACACATGAAAACTGGGGGTCACTCCCAGACAGTTTTAAGAACTCAATCAGAAGCCCGAAGTTTCTTTCAGAGGATTGAAGCGCGGAGACCTCGTGGGGAGCGTCAACTGGGCTGTCTCTCGATATGTATAAACGACCAATTATATAGATGACACTGACAAGTAAACAAATTGATAACACACTTATCATACATATAAGTAGCTAACTAGACATAACTGCATAAATTCATACAACAAGTGACTTAACTTATAAACAAACACACGAGCAAATGACATAAATGAGCAAGTAAATCAATAAGCGAAGATAAGTAGAATAAATGAATAAACCAGCAAACACATAACTATGTAGACATGCGTTGAGAATTCACTGCATATCTTCCATTTGCTTAAGTTCCATGGACAACATATGTTTCCATTCTGGAAGGTATGTAGTATATATTTATATACTGGAGAGAGGGCGGATCGAAAGCTGATAGCATGTGCCAAAGAGCCAACTCTGCTTTGTCACCAGCCTTGGTCAAGATCTCTTTGTTCTTCAGTAGTTTTCTAGAATGCTGCTTCTGCCTCCTATGGTTCTGCTTTGGGCCACTCCGGCTTCCCCGATCTCAGGCAAG